AGAGTTATTAAAATGCAAATTCATAACATAAAGGAGAAATTATGGAAGAAGAAAGTATTTTCGTTTATGACTTTTGGACCATATCAGCTCTTCTGGTGGCTCCTTCTGCATTAATGTGAATGCTGCTGACACAAAAGATACAGCAGTAACATGGTTTGTTTTGGTCAATGCCTAATTGCTTACAGCTTTTAGATCCTGAGATGTTGGCTTAATGGATTTTAATGCCTCAAAAGAAAAAAGGGAGATATCTGCACACACAAAGTCTTCATAAGATTCTGGAAAACAAACTGTTTCTTTACCCTTTGATATTTTCTCTGTATTTATCTTTGTAAAATTGGTATTTTTTACCTTTTTTTTTTCAAATTTAGCTCACAGAAAAAGAGCCATCATGTTTGCCAGATTTTTATCAGTGAAGTCTGAGATGAAAAGGGGCTTGGACATCAGAAACTGGCATAGATCCCATGAGGGTTGTGATTTTTCAAACTTCACACGGGTCCTACCTGCTGCATGGACTCCTGCATTGGATTCATGGAGCTTCAGCTGTTCCTCGTGGCTTTTGAGCCCAAAACTCAGCAATGGGACCACCCTGCCCAAGAGCTCCCCCAAAGCAACCCCAGAGATTATCTTTTATGGGCAAACACATTTTAATCTCTTCAAACATAAGTCAAAGGATGTTCACAGATGAAGGTGTCTTGAAAATGCTGTCCAGGGAAGTCTTTGCAGTGCTCTGGTTTGTTTTAGGGCCTCTTTTGTCCTGTTTAAATCATGAAGGGACAATTTACAGCTCATGCAATAAGGCATGCTGTGTGTGCTGAATGAATTTTATTCATATAAGGAACAGACTCAGATTTCTTAAGCTGATAGTGTTTTCAGTATTACCTTAAAAGTCCTCTACACAATGTTTTAAAAAAATTTGAAACCTAAATTTTCTTATAAGTACATTTTTCGAGATGTAGGAGGAAATTTTTATGTATTTCTGCTCCTACAAATAATATTGGCATTATTTTATTGACATTGATTCCATCTTTGTTGCAATAACTTTCTTCTGATGCTGTGGTCTTTGCTATGACTTGGCTAGACTTGCCTAGAAAACCAAAATTAGAAGAAGAGTTGCAGTTCAGAAAATATTTATTGCTATACTAATTGTATGTAAAAGTAATTTATACAAATCATATATTGCAAAATTCCTCCAGGAAAAATAAAAAACACCACATAGTTGGAATAAAACAGCTGGTTACCTTTCAGTTTTATTGGCATGAACACTGTGATTGCATCAAGCCAACTCCTCAGCTAATGAAAACTAGCAAAGCTCTATTGCCTCCAGTACCCACTGTTTCAACCAGAAATAAATCTTTGGAGCTTTCATTGCATGTGCACGGCAAGTAAATTTAGGGATTTTTTGGGTTTTTTTAAGATCATTGCTTAATGAGGGGAGAAAAAGTCAAAAACTACTGGCTGAAAGTTTTCCCATGTAGGGAAGTAACACCCCCCAGGCAGGCACCTCCCTGTGGTTTGGGGCAGAGATTGAAATAAAAATGAGGGGTCTGGGATGGAAACTGGGCAATGAGCAGGAGATGATCCCACACCTTGTGCAAAGTGTCCTGCCTATTATTTATTCAGTGTACTTATTATTATTTTAAGGCTTTTATTTTCTATTTGCTCATGGCTGTACCAGAGTGTATTTTGTATATATATTTGTATATATCTTTAGTCAGCAGAGTTTCCCCTAAATAAAACTAAAAATGCTTCTTAAAGCCCCTGGAAGTTTGAAGGTACAGGCTTAAACCAGGCAAGCCATGAGGAAAATCAATGAAAAAGGAAAAAACAGAACAGTGTACATGTACTCTTATCTCTCCAATAACTTCAGCTTAAGAAGGTTAGAAAGGAAATTCAGCTAATCATTGTACATTTTTCTTATTAAAAAAAAAAAAAAGGAAGAGTTCCTCACAAAACCATGGGAATTAATGTAACTGGTTTCAGTAAATTAAGGAAATCATGTGTGGCATTCTTCTGTGGAAAAAAAAAAGATCCCTTTTCCTAGGCTCTCCATTTTCAGCTCTATACGTTGAAAAACCATGTGGGACATATCTAATTAAAAGTGCACTCCTCTGACAAAGCATTTTTGCCTGGTTTTAGATAGCAGCAGTCTGTAACTGATGTGATCAATTCTTCCAGATCTGCAGCAGACACAAGGTGTTCTGTAGGGCACACGGGCCTGGGGCTGTGAGGATTCATTTCAGCTCCCAGCTGGGCACATTGCACCCAGAATGGTTTTTCTGCCCAGTTTGGGTTTTCCCCAGCTATGAAACAACTTCTCCATCTCCAGGTACTACTGGCTGGCTGAAATATGTTAATGAATGTAAGGTACTTAGATGAGTCTGTGGACAGGTAAGTGAAAAGAGAATAAAAACTCTTCATTTCATTAATGTCTCAGTCTTTAACTGCCTCTCCACACTAATAAAATGTTAGAAATACATAATGCACTCACATCATGTTGTCTTTCAAGCAAATGGTAAAAGAACCACAGTAACCAATTCAAAATATGCATGAATACATATATTATGTTTGCATTGGTAAACCCAGTCTGTTTGTACTAGGAAACATTTTTAGCAAACAATTTTATTTATAACTCCTGTGCAAGCATTCCAGAAAGAGGTGGTCTGCAAATTCCAGAGGACTCTATTTAAAAGGGAATTCTTCAAGTAAAAAATGAAACTAATAATAACTCCTTGAGGTGCTAGATACTGCTGTAGCTGATACCAAGTGTTAATCTTTGGAGAAATGAACTCAATTTTGTTTTGACACTAAGATAATGCTCTATGATTTCACTGAGAAAGCATTATCTCTCCCTGCTCTCTCTACCTCCAATAAAGTTTTACAAGCAATAAAAAGGCCTGGACATCAGCTATTTTCCTGTTGGTGCTGTTGGAGGTTTCCTTTTGATGCCTCCCGACAGAAACCTCCCTGGTGAGTTCTTGCAAGGAGCACTTTGGTGCCACTTCTCACTTGGGGTGTTTGGTCTGAGCTGCAGAGCCTGGGGGTGGCAATGGCACCGTGACTAAAGGGAAGAATGTTCCCAGACAGGAGGAAACCCAGCTTAAAAATGCATTAAAAACAACTCTTGCTTTCTGGGTGCTGGCTCCTTGGCTTCTCCCTTCAGAGGGTGGCAGTGTGCCTTGTCCCCATGGCCAGGGGGACATGGCTGGGGTCTTCCCAGGGGGCGAAGCCAGAGCTGGTTACAGGCTCCTCTACGTTTGTAATGACACTGGAGACAGGGGAACTCCCACTTCCTACCCTAAATAACTCCCCTGGGACTGATCCAGTTTGTTCTGAGCCAAGCACCAAGTCTTTTCTAACTGCTGTAGCTCTCCTACTAAAAGTAGCAATTAGGAGAAACATTGCCAATTAGCTAATTGCATTTCTCACAGCTGCTTCAGTACAGATTGCCTTATATGTCATAAACTTCTCCACAGTTTTATAAATGACTTATCTCGGAAGTACTTTTTATAAGCAATGTGTTCATTTATATTTTAATTCCAGGAAAGTTGCTGGCTTTCCTGTTGCATTGTAGAACAATGCACCCATCCAGATTTCCTCAAAGTGTTTGTGAGGCCTGGGCTCACAGAGACCTGAGCAGGAGCCACAGCACCCTCCAGCTCGGGAAATAAATCCCAGTTCCTGCTGCACACCAGGGAATATCCACAGGGACACGTCTCCATAAAGCCATGTTGACTCTACTCAAGCTACGTCAGGGAAGGTTTAGGTTGGATATTAGGAAAAAATTTTTCACTGAAAGAATAATAAAATACTGGAATTTTCTTCCTAGGGAGGTGGTGGAATCACCATCTCTAGATATGTTTTAAAAAAGACTGGACGTGGCACTTGGTGCTATAGTCTAGTTGTGGTGTTAGGGCATAGGTTGGACTTGATGATCTTAAAGGTCTCTTCCAACCTCATTATTCTGTGATTCTGTGATTCTGTGATTCTGTGATTCTGTGATTCTGTGATTCTGTGATTCTGTGTGATACTCTCTTTGGGTGTCCACCTCTGCCCACTGCCAGGAGCAGGATATGGCTCTGTATGGCCTGAGAGAGCTGGAACTACCCAAAAATGGCAATTCTTTGCTTGTTATGTCTTAAGATTTTAGCTGGACTGCACCAGCCATGTTACTCACTTCCTGCCCTTCCTCCTGGAGCCAGTTACAGGAAAGGAGGAACAATGCACCCCTGGGCACTTCAGTCCTCACCTGGCAGGCCACACAGGGCAGTGGTGGCATGTGGCACTGGGACACTCACCTGAGCCCAGGAGGGAGCAGGAGCAGTGGTGGGACACCCTAATCTGAGGGGATGTACAAGATGATGCTCTTCAGACTTCCTAAGATTGATTTGACTTCCCAGGCATCCTCACATCTTCTTGATCCAGTGAAACAAAGGCTGTGGTGGGACTGCTGCAGTGCCCACAGCTGGGAGCTGCAAGAAGCTGGCATGTTTTCAAGGTGTCACCTGCCCTGCTTCTGCCCGTGTTTATTTACAGCTTTGCAGAGAAAGGCTCTTCTCCAGAGACATCTCCCTCCCTCCCTGTGGGCACAAAGCAGATCTCTGCCATTCCCAGCAGCTCGAGCCAGTGAGAAAAGCAGAGGGATTGGATTTAATTGCAGAAAAAAGAAAAAAGTTTCCACTAGAATAAAATGGCCTAAACTTGGTGCACAATAAGGTCTGGTCTGTGCTGCAGTATAACTCCATCCAAAGCAGAGCATAAATGGTCTTCCTTTGCTAAATTGCCCACAGATATATTCCTTAATTCCAGGAAGAACTCTCATGTTTTTCAGAATTGTACCGCCTAACCTTTTTTACCTCCTTGCACTGTATCTTTTAAAATTGCTTTTTATTGGCAAAGACCTTTTTGTTGTTTTGTGTGAGTTCATGTCTTGCCAATGTTTCAGAGCAATTGCTAAGTCCAGCACATACTTTAAATGATAGGCTTGAGCCATCTTTGATCTGAAGCCAAATGGGTTTTAATAGAGTTATCTCTTTAAAAGCAGTGTTCTCCCTCCTTATTTGCTGCTTCACCAGAACAGGGCTGGCAGGAAATTCATCCAGCTTTCATTCACGAGCTGGTTTGTAGTAGTTGTTGCAGACAACCAGATCCAAATCCTGTTGAAAGCAATACAAAAAAATCCCATTAGCTTGCATCAGGCCCAAATTGCTTTCTGGACCTTTATCTAAGTTTTGGGAATTTCCAAAATATTTGTAAGGTAACATCACTCCTTGGCTGGCTGAAATGTAACCTTTCACATTTGAGGAGATGGTTCTTTAAGCAGCTGGATAAGAAGTACTGGAGACCATGCTGAGGTTTTTAAAAGCTGAATGGAAGGCCTTAATTTTAAACCTGTTCATTAACAGGTAGGGTCTGGCATGTCCCTGTCCCCCTTGGAGGAGGATCTGGGGTTTGGCACAGGAGAGCCAGTGCTTGACTCCCCATTTTCTTGCTCTATCTGAACTGGAGAGAGGGAAGAGAAGGCACAAGTGATGGTGATGGGGTGAGAAACTCTCCTATTTACTGCAGAAAAACTACTCATGGTGAGAAAAACTCTTCAATTCTCTCATAAGCCAGGTCATAAAGGGACCCTGTGTTAGTGCAGAGCCTCAGCAGCACAGGGCTACCCCCAGAGGAGAGGGCCTAGGCAGTGAAAAGCAAGAAGAGCCTCTTGAATTTGGGTTGTACACTAAACTGGAGAGGTTATAAATGTCATTATCAGGAATCAGAGGACACCAACAATCTGCTGATAGAATAAAAAGAAAAGGATGCCAAAGAAAGGGTTTGCAGAATGGGAAGGAAGAGAAATGTCCTGAAAACCAGGGTGTAAGCCCTGGTGTTTACACTCCCTCACCCCGTCAGAGCCCAGCCCCTCTCCTTGCTCATGCAGGTCCAGCTTTCCAGGCTTGCAAAGGTTGGAGTTACTCACATTTTGATTTTTCAGTTGTGGATGACAAATTCCACCTTTTTTGCAGGGGATGTTACTAAATCACTTTGTGCCACTTTCAGAGTGAGTTGGCCTTTTCAGACACCCGGTGCTCCAAGGAGAGACATTTGTATGAAAGTCTGTGCAGTGCATAAAGGCATTTCATGGGGAGATTAATATTAAAATACTCAGCTATCCAATCAATTTATGAGGTTTTAATGCAATGACTTGAGTCTAGATGTTAGAGTTCACTTAAAGTTCACTGACTATTATGGGACTGATGGTCTATAGAATAGCTTAATCTTACCGTGGGAAAACTAAAATCATGGAGGGGAAAATCAGGCAAGACATGGAGGATAAACTCCCATTCCTGTGAGATACCACGGGACATGCCAAAAAAAGGCAGAGAAGGAACCATTTACTTCCAGTGCAGAGGGAAGGATGTGCAGTTAGCAGCACTTACAGCAGCCATGTGCCATCCTGATCTCTTTTGTAGACATTTTGCAAAAGCAGGGAAGGGGAAAAGAGCTGCTTGATGTGTGTTTTACACAATGCAGAGAGGAAACCAGAGACTCAAAAGACAGCTCTGTTTTTCAGGCTAAAGATTCTTGCTTCATTTACTGACAGGACCTTTCTATGCATAAGAGGAGACCTCCCACACCTTAAATTGCTGCACTGAATGGATTTACATTCTGCTTTATCCTCTGCATTCCAGCTCCTGCCCTTAGCCTTGTGATTGTGTACATGAGACTGCAGGCTGCACATCCCAGAGAGCTCAGAAAAAAACCCAGACCCAAACCCACAGGAAAAAAAGGACCCCCATTTAGATCTATCCTTCCCAAGGGCCACTGCTTCCCTGTGTGAAATTAAACTTGCAGAAGAAAACATTTGAGAGAAAGTTGGGACTAATGAAAACTGCACAAGGTTCTTTGGCTTCACTCATCTGGAGAAGAAAAGTGTAGCTCTAGGCAAGCAGGAGCTTGTTGAGCTTGAAGAAATGTTACCTGCTTAAAGGCAGGTAAAATCTGGCATAAGCTGTTAATCCATCATTCAGGTTTTTACATGCCAAACTCCTGTAAATGTTTTTCTACCACATCCTGTCTCCTCCTTCTCTAGCTGAAAAATAATAATAATTTTGGAAGAGCATGAATTAGGCCTGTCATTCTTTTTTTTCTCCCCTTATCCTTGAACTGCATCACACAAATTCACTGTCTCTTAGAGGACTTGATCCTGCACTCCTAATCAGGGAGCAAAATTCACCATGACTTCAACTTTGAGACCCTGAATTTTCATTTAGAGAAAAGCTAAGCTTTCTTCCTTGCCATCACATATTCCTGGGCATCATTAGGGTGGTGCTCTGGTCAGCTACCAGTGACCCAGACCAGGATTTCCAGCAAGAGATCCTGAACACGTTCACCCAGGCAGGGGCAGGTGGGCAGGGGAGGGCAGAGCGAGGTTGGTGTTGGTGTGAAAAATGGGGCAAGGCCAGATTTGAGTAACTTCAGCCTTGCACAGCCAAGGGTTGACAAAGCAGTGAGCCCCTGCCAAGGCATTCTTCTGGATGAACAGCCCCTGACAGCAGCAGCACAGCCCACAGCACCACAGATCCCTTGCTGTGCCCATGCTCACTTGGGCATCCCTTGGGCCTTCACATCTCCTGAATGCAAGTGTATTCAGTCTCCTCTGAGAAAGAGGGAAAACCACTTTTAATTTTTTTTTTTATAATGAATAATACAGATTCTGTGAAGGGTTTAGCACCCTGTGTTTGCACAGAGATGAGCAAGGATGGGCTCCACTGCTCACTGCTTTAAACCTGTGCATTACTTCAGGGCCAGTCCCACCTTCTAATGAGAGTTTCACATTGAGAACAGCAGGAGAGTGGCTCTGCAGACATCCCCATCTGCTCTCTGTGGCTCTACAGGCTCTGCTCCCCTTTGCAGAAGCTGTCTTACAGCAGGGGTGCCACACCAAGCCCAGTGGCAGCCCCCTCTTTTGCAATCCCCCCTCCCTGTGGTTATCCCCCCTCCACAGGTCCTGCAGCCTCCCTGGTTCCCAGCTCACCTCTCCAGATGCAGGCAACAGCTGGAGCACGTAACACCTGGACTTTGCAGCACAATTCTGCTGCAAGCCAGACACGAAAAGAAATATGCAGATCTAACAAAGCATCCAAACTCTTCAGAGCACCTGCAGGTTTCTTGATCACTCCTTGGTCAGAGTCCTCAAGGGGGCTTGCAGCCCCTCCTGCTGCACAGGGCTTTCCCATCAGCTCACCCCTCCCTCAGCCTCATTTCTTTTTGCTTAAGGTTCTTCTCTCCCCTGCAAGGTAACTCTGAAGGTAATGTTCATTTCTGCTCCCATCCTTAGGAGTGCCACGGATTTTTCCCAGTTTCCAAGGATGTGACCTACTCTTCAGTGCCACACTGCCACACCATCAGGCTGGTTTCACTGGGGAGCTCCCCAAGAAGCAGCATTTCCAAGAGCTCACATTATCACCCACTGTAAGGCCTTCTGCCACTATGAGGAGATAAAGACTGCAGAGAAAATCCAAGACTCCCTCATGGAAAAAACAAATTTGCACCATACTCAATCTCTGTTTAGATTCTTAGGCTTGTCAAGCTATGCTTCTTTACCATGAATTTCATTTTCCCCAGAAGTAACAAAGTTATGTATAGCACCTTTTAAGTGGCATTTGACATTTCCCATACTATGGAAACATGAGCTGCCTCCCTGATTTCCTGTTTACTGTGCCACATCTCTGTGGGACACAATCTCACACAGGCACTGGTCAGTGGCAGAATATTTTCCTTTAAAGGTTTGTATGCACAGAGGAAATCATTGACATATTCTAACTTTAGGTATAACTCAGGACCAAGCTCCCTATAGTGTCAGTGCAGCCTCCAGAGAGCAATTTAGGATACCTGAGCCAGAAATCCTAAATTAAACTATGTGAATGCTTCCCAAAGTGCCAAGAGCTCCACACTCAGTGTAAGGAGAGATCCCAGCATGAATGAACCAAGAGGAGCCATTGACCTTAGGAAAACCAGGATTTTCATTCACATATTTAATGATATTCTGTTAAAATCAATTCTGGGTTTTTTTAAAGCCACTTATGAGCTTGCTTCAGAGCTTTATGAAGCTGCATGGAATAATTAAGCAAACAAATCTAGTCCCATGCTAAGTTAATTACATGCCTTGTGGTTTCATATATATTTTTCTCCCTTTCATAGTTGCTTTTTAATACGTCCCCATATTTCTTTCTGACTTTTCTGTGTTACTCTCTTTAGTCTTCAGGAAACCCATTATTACTCAGGGGACCAAGCAATCACATAAATCTCACTGAGTGCAATTAATCTCTGCAGCTTGCAGGCTGGCTGTGGGATGGTGTTCACCTTTATATTTTCCAGTTGCTAGGGATCAGCCCAGCCTCCCCCTAAATTCACTTTCCCGTGTCCCTCTTGTCCCTGTGATGTGTTGGACCTGAAGCCAGGAAGAGTTTTCAGGGCTCTTGGGCAACCATGAGTTGACCCCTCACATTTTACTGTGCAGAGAAAGGAGGGAAGAAAGGGCTTATTTCAGTATTTCAGTGACAACCTTAATGAGGAAAAGGATTTATTTCAGGAAGGACAGATTAATGATAGTTGTATTCCATGTATGGATTTAAAATGTCAATATTGCAGCAGAATTATACTTAAGTGCATTTTTAGGCATCTTGGCAGAGTCGTGATTTTGGGGACAAGGCTTTAGGTCTGATCTCAGAAGACCAATTCTGGGACCAAAAATGGTTATGTGTCCTACAGAAACATTAGAAATCAGAGATTTAAATCTTCCAGACTTTATACATTGACTTCAGTGAAATTTTGACAAGTGCCTTGTGGTATTCTTATCAGCAAGTTTGAGAAACAGATTGAAATAAACTTATGCAAGATGGGAACACAAAGTGTGAAAAACTGTTCTCAGGAAGACCTATCTACAGCTTACTCTAAGAAGAGAAGTGCAAGGGTTAGGAAATTCTAAAAGCCTGCTACTGATCTTTAAACATATTACATAATAACTGGTACAATTGGCTAGATAATATGCTTAATAAATTTGGAGATGGCATCAAGCTGGAAAGTCTGCAATGTGCTGGAAATTCATAAAGTTCTTAGAGATTGGGGAAATGGCCAAGAAAGGATGAAACTCAATAAAAACAAA